AGTACGCGGAGCTGGCCGACCGAAGAATTTCTCTACAACACATGCTTCACCTCTTCGCCCCCCCATTTTCTTAGGGGTATGATGATTCACATGTGTCACAGAGGAGCCAGGGGTTTGGTGGTGAAGATGGATGAAAAGGCAAATCGCTGCTTTTGGGAGAACTTCTTCTACGTTCGAACAGAGCACGTGGTGTAGAACCCGGCAGGGTTTCTTGAGACATAGAATTTCTCCCATAGGTTTTCTTTTCTTTACTTTATGCATTTTTTTCTTAAGATGGTTGTCGGTCGTCTCCCTTTAATGACCTCGTTGAGGGTTTGTTTTTGTTTTTGTAGCCGAGAGAGTACCTCCTCCGCTTGTTGCCGATATTCGCGAGTGGGTGAGCGCGATTCTCCCCCTTACGATGGGGATTCTCAAATGTGCGCCATTCCATGAGAAGTTTGGGTGCAAGCCTCTTGTTGGTGAGTCGGCTCGTTGCGGTCTGTTACTTTGTTTTTAACTCCGTAATTTCTTTTACCTCATCTTTGTTTGGTTGAATTTCTTCTCATTGGCAGGTCGGAGAGGAATGAGAAGGGCAAGGGCTCCTGCGTTCGCTTTTTGCCAGTCGGCTTCCTCTGCCCGACCCGCTTCAAGGGCATCTCTGGATGAGGGTATCTAGAGTTTGGTTGTTCGGCGAACCGCGTCCGCGACTGAGCCCGTTCGTTCGGAGGTTTCTCGGACAGACATTCTGATTCCCATAGTCCGTTCAATGGACGAACCTTCCCGCGACAGTAGTGAAGAGGCACCGTAAAAAAGGCGGAAGTTGTCGGAGAGAGCGTCGTTGGTTGAGACGTCCTCGAGGGGCGACCCTACTTTGGCGGTATCTGAAGCTGGTGGTGGTACTGGCTGAGGTGCGGAGGCGAGGCCTATTTCGATCGTAAAAGAGACCACTGTGGCAGGGGGACAGAGTTCGAGGGCCGCCGCATTTGTTCCGAGCGGTCCATCATCGTCTCGGCAGGGCCGTGCCCCCTCTTTAGCTAATGAGAGGTTGAAGGGCGTGGTGGTGGATGATTACGAATCTAATTCCGACATCGATCCCGAGGACATGAGGATATTCGAGGAAGGCTTTACCAGGGTCGATGTGAGGGCGGAAGGTCCTTCTCGTGTGCTCGAGATTCCGTCAGATTTCAACCTGTTGGAGGACATTGTGGAGTTGGTGCCTCAATTTGATCTTCTGTGCTCCACCGCCGAAAGTGAGTCTTTTCGGGAGATCAACGATTCCGCTTTGTCACGTGGTGTGGCCCGGATGGCCTTAAGGGTGAGTTTCCTTTCGCCATTTTCATTGTTTTGTGCCATTTTGCTTTTGTTGATTCCTCCCTCTTCTTTTTTTTAGACTTACATGATAGAGATCGAGAGTGTTTGTAGGGCTGAGACGAGGGCCGAAGTCTTTTTGAAAATGGCCGCGAAGTATCGCCGGTATCGCAACAGATGCCGAGAGATTCATGTGCAACTTAGGGCGGGCGGTATTACTCAATCCTTTAGAGAGGAGTTAGAGAAACGAGACGAGGAACTGATGTGGTCTATCTGCAGATGCAGCAAGCTCGAGGAGTTACTCAGTGTCAAAGACGAGGAGCTCGAGGTGGGCAAAGGGGTTGCAGCGGAGTTCGAGGACCTTCAGGAGAATGTGCTGTCTTTGCGAGCTAAGCTTGAAGAAAATGCTTCCAGAGTCGCCAATATAAGTGTAGAATTGACGGAGAAAGTGGCTGAGCTAGAAAAGAAGGTTGTTGAGTTGGAGAGCCGAAGGGGCTCGAGTGGCAGCTTTGGCGAGGGCGGCGGCGCTGGAAGACACTATCCGCATCCTCAGGTCTGAGCGGGAAGCCGAGAGGGTGACGGCCACACTGAGGGAGGCACGACTTGAGGAGCGGATCGGTGAACTTGATCGGGATGCTTCGAGCCTGGAGATTGAGTTACGATTATCGAGGCTGAGAATGTGCAGCTGTTAGCTCAGTCCGTCCTCAAGAATCTGCCCCTGCTGGTGTTCCCCGCTGCTTGTACGAGCTATGGGTTCATGCCGAGGCCCAACGAGATATATATAAGGGCTTGTGGGAGGCGGGGAGCGTTCCTGAGGCCAGTTTTGAAGATGCTCGGGTGAAGGCACGCGAGGCTTGTCTTGCCTGCAGTTATGACCCTACGACACCGGAGGCCGGTGAGGGTGCTGAGATTGACGATGGGCTTCCTTCTGATGATGACGATGCTAGGGAGAATGGCGGTGGAGATGATGCCGAGTGAAAATTTTGCAGCTTTATTACTTAGTTTTTTTTCTTTTTCTTTTGTTGTTGTTTGTTTTCATCTTTTTCTTGGGGGCCCACTTTTGGCCTTTTGTAAGGCGCAGCTATTGCGCATGTACATCTTCTGAATAAAAATAGTCGTTTTGCCTTTGGTTACATATCTTTTGACTTTCTTTCTCCTCCTTTTTTTTTGAAAAAGATCCTCGAATTTCCCCGTCATGAGTCCCTGATTTATAATTGGGAATTCGAATGAGGTCGAATTCAGACTCGACAACTTGAGCGAAATCAGTTTTGACTTGGAAATTCAAACGAAATCGAATTTAACTTTTGCTTGGCGATGACCGATGGTCGTAAGGGTGTGAATTCGAACGAGGTCGAATTATGACCCGCCATGAGTTCAACGAGGTCGGACCTTGACTTGTTAACTCGAACGACATCGAATTTAACTTTCGCTTGGCGATGGCCGGGGGCCGTAAGGGTGTAAATTTGAGCGAGGTACGATTGTTACCCGTTATGGTTCGAGCGAGGTCGAATTTTAACTTTGTTGATTCGAACGAGGTCGAATTTTTCTTTTATTTGGCGATGGCCGATGACCGTAAGGGTGTAAATTCGAGCGAGGTCGAATTATTACCCATTATGGTTCGAGCGAGGTCGAACTTTAACTTTGCTAATTCGAATGAGGTCAAATTTTTCTTTCATTTAGCGATGGCCGATGGCCATAAGGGTGTAAATTCGAGCGAGGTCGAATTGTTACCCGTTATGGTTCGAGCAAGGTCGAACTTTGACTTTGCTGATTCGAATGAGGTCGAATTTTCCTTTCATTTGGCGATGGCCATAAGGGTGTAAATTCGAGCGAGGTCGAATTGTTATCCGTTATGGTTTGAGCGAGGTCGATCTTTGACTTTGCTGATTCGAATGAGGTCGAATTTTTCTTTCATTTGGTGGCGTTTGTTCCTTGTTCGCGCACCTGGGAGAATGCTCATGTTCCTATCCTAATCCAAAAAAGAAAAATAACAAGTTAAACCCAAATGAAATTGCATGTTACCTTGATCTTATAGGTTGGCGAGGGGAGAGGGGAGTTGCAGGACGACTCGTTTTACCCCGCACTCGAATGGCGGCCTCAGATTTAGTAACCTCGTGTTTGGATTCGCCGGTCCGATTCCGTCCGATATGCACAAAATAATGGAAACACAAGTTATACTCCGTACACAAATTACACTCCGTTTATATGGGTACAAAAATAAGGCAGGACAAGCCGGTTATTTCAAAGAATCACACAGTAGGCTATCGTCCCTTCCTAAGAGGTGGAAGTATAGATCGGTACATATCGTTAATATAGTAAATAGGATTGCGGACGTGCTCAGTGCGTAGTGACCGTAATCCCACTTTAAGAGCTCGTACGACGTACAAAACCCATCGCTACAGTAAGACGTGAATTTTGTATAGATATCAAACATGGTTTCGATTTCATGCAAAGAATTGACCCTGGTTGGTGTGGTTACTTCAAAAGCTTACCTACAACTTTCTCAAGTTTGGTGTTTATATTGAGAGGGAGAGGCTACGACAACCGGGAAGTGAAACTCTGGCTGACTACAGATCTAGAGGGAACTAAGATCTTAGCTAGAAAATCCTCACAGACGGCGCCAAATTGTTTGACCAAAAAGTATTAAACCTTTTTGTAAACTAATTAAATGAGAAAAGAGAGGGTAAATCCTAGCCAGAAGTAATTAACTCTAGACGAAAGCATATAGAATAAGAGAATAGGATATAATCAAGCTCATAAACTTTTTAAGATTACAAAAGGTATTGAATGTAAATGGCAGACTTACATTCTTTGATGTACTGTTCCATAATGTAAGAATAAAGGAGAAAAGGGTGGAATGCCATTGATGGCTACAAGATCTATCATTATTGATTCTATAATGATGATTACGAAGATCAGCGGCCGAAATCTAAACCTTCTCTCTTTTTTCCTCAGAAGCCTTCTCTCGTTCTGTGTTTTTTAGATGAAGCCGAGAGAGTCCCCTGTTCTTGTTCTCTTACCTAGTATATATACAGTAAATATTCCCCTTTATCAAATGGTCCTTAACCAGAGTACCCTAACCCGCCGATTGTTCTTTGGGTCGTTCCCCCTAAATGCCACGACATGTACTTTGCCATACGGGCCTTCTGATGGTTCGACCTCGGCCATGGCCGAGATATCCGTCGTTATGGTACCATATGGATACAACCACGGCTCAATCGTCCCCTCGTCATTTCTTTTTGCGCTGGTCCTAGTATGGTCAGATTTCGACCCATACAGAGAGGTCTCTAAAAAATTGCTTCAAATAATATCGGATAGGTCTGTGTATGTCACATGTCATTCAACAGTACTACAACCTAGTTTCGAATAAGGATCGATCAGATAATAAAACTGGTATTCCCTGATTCATTCCACGAGATCACGTAAAATTCTAAGTAGGTCAACTCAATGACCTATAAATATATATGGGTTTAAAAAATGTTCCATGAGAAAGACAAAAAAGTTATAAAATTATCACCGGATCTTTTTGGCCACTACACATATCATGTTTTATTCAAGTTTATATAGGACCCTCATAGTACTAGTATATAATCGAATAAAAAAATGTATTCAGTTACTCATTCCAAGAAATCCCATTAAATTTCAAGTTGGTCAACCTGCACATATATGATATCAATGGATTCTTTTGGGCAAATTTTAAGTCTTATCTAAGGTTCCCCGAGTCGAATCAAGTACATGGGTATCAACTTTGTTGAAACATGAATATCGTGGGTTAATATTATACGTCAATTTTAGAAAATACATACATAAAATATTTAATTTTACGGAGAGACCATAGATTCACGTGCCCTATATTTTTGCCTATAAATCCGCCCCTAAATTCCGATAGATTACGAACTACTCCATTGAATATCAATCGGTGCCTAAAGCGTGAACAATTCATCGGCAGTGTGAAAGAGGAGTGGTTTGAGAAAATGGAAGAGGCTCTTCTGCCGTTGAATGATGTGATGAGCAAAAGGGTGGTGTTTAAAGAAGAGGTGAAAGAAGTGAGTCGCATAGCAATTCCTATGATAGTTGGGACGATGTGCCAATACCTCTTACGCTATGCACCAATGCTTATGTTGGGTCACTTAAGTGAACTATCCCTCTCTAGTGCCTCTATCGCCACATCTTATTGCACTGTTACTGGCTTTGCTATTCTTGTAAGCTACCTACCTACCTCCTTTTTCTCTTTTAAATTTTCTGACTAATTAAAGCTGTTTGAATCTGAATCTTGGTGCTGCAGTTTGGAATGGCAAGTGGACTAGAAACTTTATGTGGACAGGCCTATGGAGCAAAGCAGTATCAGAAAGTTGGCACTATTACTTATGCTGCTGTCATATTTCTTTTATTCTTTTGTTTGCCAATATCTCTTGTGTGGATCTACACTGAAAATTTGCTTTTATGGATTGGCCAAGACCCATCAATCTCTGTTGAAGCTGGAAAATATTCAATTTGGCTCATACCAACTCTCTTTCCCTATGCTATTCTTCAGTCATTGTTTTGCTATTTCCAGGCTCAAAGCTTGATCCTTCCACTCTTATGGACCTCAGTCGTCTCTCTATGTTTTAACATACCTCTCAGTTGGGCTTTCATATTTAAATTTAATTTTGGGACCATTGGTGCAGCAATAGCAATCGGTTTATCATATTGGTTGAACGTCATCTTGCTTGTGATTTATTTGAAGTTTTCGTCAACCTGTCAAAAGACACGTCCTTTTTTCTCAAAGGATGTTTTTCTTGTTATGCCAGAGTTCATCCGATCTGCTTTTCCATCTGCTGGAATGGTTGGGTACATATTTAATTGTCAACTTTATATATAAGTTTGGTATTTCCAGAATTTTGATAAGGCCTCCATTATTAATTTTATATCTTGTTCATAGTTTGAGATGGTGGGCAGTTGAGATAATTACATTACTCGGTGGATTGTTGCCAAATCCACAACTAGAGACTTCTGTTCTATCTATTTGGTATCCAGCTCTACAACCTTTTCACATTCCATTTCATGCCTTACAGTCTGATTATGTTTTTCCTTATAAATTTCTAACACACAAGGTACATTGTTTGAATTTTCTTTGGATATGCAGCCTTACAACCTCTTCAATACACTTCAACTTACCCTTTTCTTTCGGTGCTGCTGCAAGGTTAATTTTCTCTTCAACATATTTCCTAACACTGATTATGTTTGGTGTAAAGATAGGATCGTAGTATGGTTCAAATGTCATTCTTAAATTACTTCATAACTATTTTGTAGCATTCGAATTTCAAACGAGTTAGGAGCTGGGAATCCAAAAGCAGCAAGAGTTTCTATATATGCAGTCTTCACTCTAGCAGCTGCAGAGTTTCTTCTGGCAAGTGGAATTCTGTTCTCCTTGCGTAATGTATGGGGATATGCTTTCACACATGAACAAGAAGTCGTCGATCTTATCACAGAAATTACTCCTCTTCTCTGCCTCTCCATCATCGTTTATAGTACAGTTACTGTATTATCAGGTCATTTTTTCCATCACTCTTTTCGTTTAGTTTAATAAACAACATTCAAAATGGTTACATCTCGTATTTTCTTATATGTAGATCTCTATCACAACCGGTTGTTTCTTTTGCTTCGGCTGTCTTATTATTATGCTGTTACTGCTTCTTTTTCCATGGCTTTTTCGTTGATGTATTTCTTTTTAAATATGTTGTGACTATGTTTTTTTCTAAGCCGAGGGTATCTCGGAAACACATCTCTGTCTTCACAAGGTAGGAGTAAGGTCTGCGTACACACTAACCTCACTAGATCCCACTTGTGCGATTACACTAGGATTGTTGTTATTGTAGTATTCAAAATGGTTACCAGATAGTTGAAATGCAGTTAATTACTAGTAGTAGGTTATTAACATGCTTTCTTTTTCCTGCATCAGGAGTAGCAAGAGGAAGTGGATGGCAACATATAGGGGCCTATATTACTTTAGGATCATATTACTTGGTCGGAATTCCTGCCTCTTTACTCATGGGATTTGTTTGGAATTGGAAAGCAAAGGGCCTTTGGTGTGGATTATTGATGGGGTCAACAGTGCAAGCTATTCTGCTCTGTATTATTACTGGTCTCACAGATTGGGAAAAACTGGTAGCTAGCTAACACAAAAGATGAAAATGGTGTTTTTTTCTAGTTTTACTTTCACGCATTAAAAACTCTGATTATTTCTGGTTTCAACTTTACAGGCCAAGGAAGCAAGAGAAAGATTGTTTGATAGGAAGATTTCATGCAACAAATGACTCAAACGAATGTATGAGTACACAATGATGATCTTCACTTCGAAAGCATAAAAGGATAGCTTAATTTGGCTAGATTTTTTTCCTAGCATATGTCTCTACTTGAGCAGTGACATACGAACATTTTGTACTCTTAAGATATATGAGTATTTGAAGCGTCCTCGTACCTTCAAATCACCAAGGTAGCACAAGACGCTTTCAATTCAAGAAAGTAAATCCATACATTTTTCCTTTAATGAATGCAATTAGTTAATTAGGAGTAGTTGATTAGATTGAAGACATACTTGTAGAGGTGGGTTCTCTTCTCCTGTGCGTGCGCGCGTGTTTTGAACTATGCTTGTAGAGCTATGACAATTAAAGTCGACATTGTCTGCTACAACTATTTATCCTAATTCTGCAACTATGTTGTTGTTGTTGTAGTAGTAGTAGTTTCAAGTGTGTTTTCTCTTTAACTAATTGGTAGAGAGAAGAAATGAGACCCAGTTCTACACGCCAATGAAATATGAACAACATGAAAACTTTAATTTTCCTACTTCTGGTAAGAGGTAATACACACAGCTCACTGCCAATATTCTTGCGTACACGGGGGGTATTTAAGTCTTTTCATTGCTTCTCATTCAACATGTCTTTTTGCTAATAAATGAACACACTGTAGCTGCTTTGATTTTCTTTTACTGCACAGAAATCTTAGCCCTTAACATATGGACCCCCATCTGAACTTTCATTCACACCTTATTTTTTATTTGCTTTTATGGTTGCCACGTGGTTGCACACCAATCTATGTTGTGATGAGGGGTTGGCACGCCACCCGCAAGCTTCGAAACTGTATATACACTAGGGAGGGTGCACAGGAAACTCCTATTTGATCCGCCCCCGGGCTTGGAACCGTTTCACTCGGCGTCGAATGATCAAAGCTAAAAGCTTTAGGCATCTTTTGAGCATGTTCAGCCTTCAAAATTCCTGGAGTCCTACGCTACGGCATTATCACAAAAAGAAACATGGCTAATAGATAACTATTTTGTTATTGTAGAATGCGATTAGTTCTTTTGATCTTGTTCGGGCTTGAAAAAGCTTCCTTTTGAATTCCAGAAGTTATGGAGCCTATCCTTTCTTCGTAGATTACTAGCCCCGGGACACCTATACCAAAAGCTCAGTGTGCAATTTGCATGAAATTTATTTTTCAACATCAATCCGTAAGTGAGGTTCCATAAATCCGTATCCATATTTTTTTTTATGGAAGCCGAGACCCCTCTGTGATTGTTGGGAAAAATAATAGTCCCTCCCAGGATTAATATTCATGGCAAATAATAATAACACAAGAGAGTAACAACAACACCAACTCTTTTAATAGGGTAAAATATAATACCCGAACCGAGCAATATTACCAATATAATATTACAACTTAGTAGTGTCAAGGCCCTACTACAATTTTGAAGGAAATAACACTCTTTATTTAAAATACCTCACTACGATATTACTCACTCACTATTTATCTCACAGACTATAATCTGTGGATTACTCTCTCTAACTTCTATTGTTTCTCTCTTATTTTGGTGTGAATGAAATGAAGAATGGAGGCCTCTATTTATAGTAAGAGCTGCCGTCCAAATAGCCATAGAAGATGGCTTGTTCGTGATTTGGTCATGCAATTTGCATGTGCAATTTGCCTATAATTTGTCAACAAAGTTAGGCACCTACCATCCCATTATTTCTTCTTTTCTTGTTTTCTTCAATATAAGCCCCACAATCTCTCCCTTAATTTTGATTTTTCTTTTTCATTCCAAGACTTGATCTCAATCTCTGAAAACCTCAAACTTAAGAGGCTTTATAAAGATATCTGCAGCCTGATCATGAGACTTCACATATTTGAGCTCAACTTTCTTCTTGGTATTGCATTCTTTGATGAAGTGATACCTTGTATCTATATGCTTGCTTCGATCATGATACACTAGATTCTTGGCGAGCGTTTGTGCGGATTTTTTATCAATACAAATCTCTATAGCTTTAATTTGTGGCAAAATGAGCTCTTTCAATAATCTTCTCAGCCAGATAGCATTGACACATGCAAGATGTTGCTGCAATATATTCAGCTTCACATGTCAAGAGGATAACAATTAATTGTTTCTTTGAACTCCAAGAAATAACAGAATCACACAAGAAAAATACAAAACCAGTTGTGCTTTTTCCATCATCAATATCTCCCGCATAATCACTATCACAAAATCTCATAAGGTTGAAATCACTAGAAGAAGAATAAAATAGCCCAAAGTCAATCGTACCTTTTAGGTAATGAAGAATTCTTCTAGTGACTTTCAAATGAGTGGAGGCAGGAGCTTCCATGAAGCGGCTTACTACTCCAACTGCAAAGAGTATATATGGCCTGGTACAAGTCAAGTACCTCAAACTTTCCACAAGACTTTTGAAAAATATAGGATCCACTTTTTCTCCTTCATTAAACTTGGACAATTTTTTTCCCACCCTCTATCGGTATGTTCACGGGGTTGCAATCGAGCATGTTGAACTTCTTCAATATTTCTTTTGTATAACTTTCTTGAGAGATAAAAATTCCATCCTCCATCAGCTTCACTTCTAGGCCTAGGTAATATGACATGAGCCCTATGTCTATCATCTCGAACTCACGGGACACATCTTTCTTAAAACCTTCAAACAAAATTGGGTTATTACCTGTAAAAATAAGATCAGCAACATAGAGACAAACAAGCAAGATATCTCTATTAGTATGAACTTTAAGATAATGAGCATATTCATGGAGACAACGAGTAAATCCATTGTCTTGAATATACTTGTTGATGCAACTATTCCATGCTCGTGGGGCTTGCTTCAATCCATATAAAGCTTTATTCAACTTCAACACTTTATCTTCATGGTTTTTGACCATGAAGCCTAATGGTTGTTCAACATATACTTCTTCTTCTTCTTCAAGATAGCCATTCAAGAAGGCTAACTTGACATCTAGTTGATGGATCTTCCACTTCATTTGCACCGCCAAAGGGATTAGCAAACGAATCGTCTCCATGCGGGCAACAGGTGCATAGACTTCTTCATAGTCAATACCTTGCCTTTGCTTGTATCCTTTAGCCACAAGTCGTGCGTTTTATCTCTCCACATCTCCATCAACATTCTTCTTTGTCTTGTATACCCATTTTACTCCAATTGTTCGATGACCTTTGGGAAGAGTTGTTAACTACCAAGTGTTGTTCTTCTCTATTGACTTGATCTCCTCCCCATGGTTATTAACTTCTTCTGTGTCCTCATAAAGCTCTTGAATACTCCTTGTCTTTTGCGGCTGTTCATTTGAACTTTCTTGAGAAGAGGGAGATGCAACATTTGTTGGAGAAGGAGGTGGAGTTGTGTCCTGCACAGGTTCCATGGTCTCTAGTTCTTCTTCATCACCAAAGTATGGAATAAAATCATATGAAGTTTCTTTCCGAGCTTCCTAGTTCCATGCCAATTCTTCATCAAATTCAACATCGCGACTTACCACCACCTTGCCGCTGCTTGGGTTGTATAACTTGTATCCTTTTGAACTCGTATCATAGCCAACAAACACATGCTTGACACTTCGATCGTCAAGCTTCGCTCTCCCTTGTTGTGGCACATGAGCATAGGCTATGCTCCCAAAGATTCTCAAGTGCTTGAAACTTAGTTTTCTTTCACTCCATGCTTCTTGAGGGGTTTGATCTCTAACATTTCTTGTTGGAGACCTGTTGTTCAAATAAACAGCACAAGAAATAGCTTCGACCCAAAAGTCCTTGGGCGTACTTTTAGCTTTCAACATACATCTAGTCATATTAAGAATCGTTCGATTCTTTCTCTCTGCAACTCCATTTTGTTGGGGTTAATAAGGTACCGTTAGAGAGCGACGAATTTCATGAGACTAACAAAAGTCATTAAATTCTTTTGAAGTGAATTCGCCTCCTCTATCTGACCTTAAAGCTTTTATTTCATAGCCACTTTCTTTTTCCACAAGTACTTTGATATAATTAAAAGAAGCAAAAGCTTCAGATTTTTAGTTCAAGAAATAAACCCAAGTCTTTCTACTAAAGTCATCAATGAAAAGCAGAAAGTATTTACTTTTACCAAAGGAAGGTGAATTGATTTGTCCACACACATCAGTGTAAACAAGCTAAAGCGGTTTGGTTGATCTTGACATGGGCTCCTTTAGAAAACTCCTCCATGTATGTTTTCCAAGAAGACAAGCTTCACACAATTGATTAGGATGGTTCATTGATGGTATCCCATGCACCCTTGTTCTTTTCTCCCATTATTTTGAGCACTACAAAATTCAAGTGCCCAAATCGCATGTGCCAACACCATGAATCATCTTGCACATTAGCCTTCAAACACTTTGCATCAATTGTTTTAAGATTCAGAGAAAATGATCTATTCTTTTCCGTATGCACTTTAGCAATTAGAATTCCACTTGAATCTCTAGACCAAAGATGCATATTTTTCATGTGGATGTCATATTCATTTTCAAGAAGTTGGACCAAACTCAAAATATTACTTTTTAATTTTGGCACATAATAAACATCTTGAATTAGCTTGTAACTACCATCTTTACAGGAGATCAGAATCGTGCATATCCCTTCAATTTGAATCTTTGAGGTATCCCCAAAGAACACATTACCTCTCAATATTTTATTGATCTCCACAAACTTCTCTTTGCATCCACACATATAATTTCTTGCTCCAGTGTCCAAATACCACGAGCTACAATAAACCATGTCTTCTTCCTTGAGTGCCAACAACAACATTGACTCATCGTCTTCTTTCTTGTCGTCAACAAGGATAGCTTTTTCTTTAACATTACTACGACACCCAAGAGTAATGGCCAAATTTATGACAATTATAACACTCAATTTTTGACTTTTCATACCTTTGTCCATTATTTTCTTGGTAGTAGTCACGTCCTCTTCCTCCTCTTTGTCCAAGGCCACGACCTCTGATTGTTTGGTGGATTTTAACTTCATTGTTGAAGTTGTTACTATTACTTCTTCCTCTTCCAAGACCGCCACGGCCTCGTCCCCGTCTATTCTCTCGATAACTCCTTTCACCTCCATAATCCTTGAAGGATGCCTGTGTTTTAAGAAGTTGCTCCAATGACACTTCTTGTCTCCTTTTGATCTTTTCTTCGCGGGCCTATAAAGAACCCTCCAATTTCTCCACTATCATAGAGTCTAAATCTTTAGACTCTTAAATAGCACACACCATAAAATCGAATTTAGGTGTTAAAGTGCGAAGGATCTTTTCTACCACACAGACATCTTCTATGTCCTCCCTGTATCTTCTCAATTTATTTACAACAGCCTTCACTTTTGAACAATTCACTACAACAAAAATGGTCTTTAGCGGCAATATATTTTACTTTTAGCGACGGTAACAATTGCTGCTAAATTCTTTACCAACAATTAGTTATTAGCTGTTGTATTCATCGTTGCTAAAGGTTTTAGCGGCAATTCAACTGAGTATTGGTAAAGGGACCAATTATTGCCGCTAAAAGCCATTTAC